CCATGTATGCAGTGTACATATAACTTCCTCTCTCTTACGCTTCTGGCGGCCGTTGGACACTCGCCAAATTTTTTTAAAATATTCAGTATCCTTTTGTCATGGAGATGTTGAAAGAGTACGACGGCTTGGGGTTTGGAGGTCCTTTTTGGAATACTCTTTTTTTGCTCTTTCTTCTCCCTTTTTTTTTTTTTTTTTTTTTTAAGCTTTTCTCGTGTTATCCCAGGATCTTGTTTGGTTAATCGTCGAACTTCACATATGACCACATATGGCGAACCCAATGCTAATGAGCAAAATCCATTGTTTCCGCTCATAAGCATTGGGTTATTATTATAACCTTCACTTTACGAGGGGGACACCAATTACTATGAAAAGTATACTCCCTAGTGGCCCCCTAAAAACAGAATTGATAATAATAAATTACAACAATTCATGCCATGAAAACTCTGACGATGGACTCTGACCTTAGTTACATAAATTTAATCGCCTCATGATTAGTAGAGGAGATAGGTTATGAATACCCTGGGTGCCAGAGACTTTTCTAGGGCGGTTTCCGGTTTCTTGGGCCTACGGCCGAAGATGTATCGGCCTTCGCCCAACACCGAAAATTCCCACCGCACGCGAGAAAAACCTCTGGTACCCAGGGTAGGTATGAAAGGTGGCAAACACCAAACAGGGATACAAAGATGCTGCAGCCCCTGGGAGATTGCCTAGTCCTTTTGGACCTTCCTCCCATCGGAATTTCCGTTGCCCTTCGTGAGGGAGGCTGGTGGGAAAGGGGGGAAGGAGGGGGTGTGTGGATAATTTCTGGAACTATACACATTTTTCTTTTGTCTGAGCAAAATGGTTGACTTACTGCTGAGCGCTTGTCTGCGTGGCCTGTATAACAAACACACTTAATTCGGTTTCCGTCGGCGCAAGTCTCTATTTGAACCGAAATGATTTAAGAGGAAATATTTCTAACTAGTTAAATATTTCTTCAGAGGTTAAATATTTATTGGTAAAAAATTCTGACATGGTTGTACTTCCATGTATGGAAATCTGAAAAGCTATCGAATACGCACCATTGAGTCGAAAAGAAAGATTTTACAAAGAAAAACGAAGTTGATTAGAAAATGATTGCTGTACTCTACGCTCAGGAATCAAAACTTCCTGACGAAATTTTATCGCTTTATTTATCACTCCTATTTGTTTGTTTTGTTTTTCGTATGTAAAGAAAATAGATCAAAGTTAAATACAAACTTTAATGCTCAAATGTTTTGTTTAAGGCACAATCAACCTCAGCCCGCTAATTTGTTGTTCAAGATTTCAGTTCCTTTAGCGCGTCTCTCTTTAGGCCACTTTCGAGTTCCAGAAACCCTCACTTTCAAAATGAGGCCAAGTGCACAACCTTTCTCTTAAAAATGAGTTTTATTTGCATGAGGATAAAAATCATTTCCATATCAAACACTGAACACTAACCTCGTTTTGATACAGAGGCCCGAGGGAACTCGGGAATGGCCAGTTACAACCGATGATAATTATGTGAAAGGGTTAGACTAAAAAACAAAACTGTGAAATACATTGCAAAAAATGGCTTTTTTCAACTGAGTTGACAGAGTCAGTTTGCCTCCGTATAACTATTTTGTCTGTTCAATCGCGGGTTTAAAAAATTTAATGTTATTTTCGCAGTATAGGTCTCTAGAGCAACCTGTTATGTGGTTATCTATATTATGCATATTATGATTGTCATTTGTGAGTTCGTTGATTTCTGTTTCTGTTTACGTCAGTACGATGGGAGAAGGAAAGAAAGACTCTTTTCAAAACCTTTCTTGGTTCTTCTATTGATGAATTTGCCAGAGGTCACCTGATTTGTTTTAGTTCAGGGCCATTCAACTTTAATATAATACATTATTAGATCTAAATACAATAGTTTATAATTACTTTTCTTGAAAAATGTTTACGGATATTTTCAATTATTTCCTTTTTTTTTTTTT